CCGTGCGGGGGGGGGGGAGGGGTGTTTGGGGGGGGGGGGGGGCTGGAGCTGCATCTCGATCACTTCTGTGCCAGTTTCGTGACGAGAGCTTTCCACTCCGACCTCTTCTGCGTGATGTAGGAGGGAGTGAGGAGCTGCAGCAAAGGCTCCGGCCGGCCCCTGAAGTATCCCTGACACAGAGCCTCCGCGTTGCAGATGACGTACATCCCACAGTCATAGCTGTTCTGCTGGGCAGGCGCCTTCTCCTCCACGAAGGTTGCTTTGCCCCCTCTTTTGCCCCAGAAGGCCTCCAGCTTCCCCGCCACTTGCTTGGCGTGGACGGAGTTGCATTTACTGTGGGAATCGTAATGGGCGAAGCACTTTTTATCCCTGAAATAAACCAGTAAGCTCCAGTGGGTGCCCCCAGCGACCTGGTTGGAGTTATCATTGATAGGCAAGAACACCAGCTTCTTGTGGAGAAGGTCCAGCGGTTGAAGGAATATGGCTATTTCTTCTTGACTAAGGGCACACTTAATGAACTGAGCCACTTCGGGGCTGATAAAACAAACCTGATCGCTAAATTCTTGGAACTGGTGGTTGGCGAAGTACTCAAAGGCAAACCCGATGATGTGATCGTTAAGCCAGTTTGGAGGCTCCAGCAAGGCGACGTCCGACTGCCTCAGCAAACTGTCCATGTAACTGAGAACAACAGGGTCCATCCTGCGCAGGTCGGGGCTGCAGCACTCCAGGAAACTTCAAAAGCTGAAACATAGAAAGGGAAGATGAATTAAGGAATTAGATCACACCTGGGACAAGATACAGCCCAACAAACAGCTCGAGTTCCTTCTCAGCAAGCGGTGAGCAGAAGCCCGGGTTTGCCAGACGGATGTTTGAAGGACCGGCGTTTGAACTATCTGCCAGATGAGCAGACGGGGGACACGCGGCTCCTCATCTGCAGCGTGTGACGGGTTGAGCCGGGCTCTTCTGCCGCTCTAGGAGCACTGCGCGGCTCCGATTAGATAAACGTTTCCTTGTTATGATCTTAACCTCAAAGCAAAGTGATTTCAAAGCAGTTCCTGCTCGGGAACTGCAGGCACACCTTCAGTTCTGTGCTTCGCGCAGAAACCTTACGTGATCTAGGAGAAGTCGGTTGGTGTTTTGGTGTTTCACCTGCACAGCGACAATCACTGTAATTCTTTGCATCACTGGTATTCCTTAAATAAAAGTCTTTTTGGGGCTGTCTGACAGGCATACGGTCCCTTTCGCCTAGCAGATAGTGCCACAGCTCGCTGCCAGACGCATGACCTGTTCCAGGAAAACCTGCTGGCCCGCCAGCGCAGGAGGCAAGGCGGCGATGAGTAAGGAGAAACAAAGCAAAACAAGATCACAAACAAACCAGTTCCCTACCGTGGGAATCTTTAGGACAACCCCCTACCTAGCCGGTAGAGATTTCAATAACTCGAGTACCACCGAAGCTGGATGGTCCGCAAAACACCTATCGTGTTTTCGCTCAGGTTTTAACGTGCCAAAATTTTGCTCACAAAAGGAGAAAGCACTCGTGGGTACACCGAGGGGTGAAGATCCCTGCAGGCTTCCACTGGTGACGTCCACCTGCGAACGGAAGTGACCCGTCATGCCAATCCACTCTTTCTAATCTTTTACTTCGTTATTTGTCCAGGCTACGTTCTTCCCTCTTAATCTGTGCCTGCTTTCCACAAATAGAGGCTGCTTATCCTTAAAAAGGCGCCTGGAAATTCAGGTAGACTGTAGCACCTGGTTCTCCCCACCCACGTGTTTGAGGATGTACTCAAGAGACTTCAAGAGGTCTTCCAGGCAAGACTTCTCCTGACTCCTTTCCGTTTATCAGGTTATCCGAGTATCCACTAATTCTGGTCTTTCTACCAGTCATATAATTCCTTTTCAGAAGCTGTTGCATTTGCTGCCTTCGCGTCCCGGGGAGATTGAAGCGTGTTTTAAGAAAGAGGTTGGACAGCACGCCAGGCGGTGCTACTCAATAGACAACACGAAATACTCGCTGGCTAGGACTTAGGAGGAGATCTTCTGAAGAGAAATTGTTGATTTAAACCCCCTATATCCGCTCCGGTTTTCCTTTTGCTCTCGCATCCCCCAGCCCAGGCTCCTCAGCTGCTGCGATGCACCATCAGCCCCCGACGCTTCCCTCCTCGCCAGGACAGGGCGAGAAACGCCGCAGCTCGGGAGAGCGGTGACGTGGAGCTGGTTTGGCCTCACCCTTTCCTCATCTGTGCCAAACGCAGCGTGAAAACATCTCAGGATTTCTTAAAACACTGTGTGAAAACTGATAACGATAAGATCACTTTAATATGATTCACTACAAATAAGACACTAATTATCCATTATGATAAGGGGAAATGAAAAATAAAAATCGAGTGTTGTGTTGTTTACACGTTAGGAAGAAGTAGATTTGTGCTTCTTAGTGCGACGTGAATCACGAAAACAATCCTTCCTGGCCAGGTATGCATAATTAGGAGAGATTTATCTCTAAAGAATCTTGGCAAGGTCACATCACACGTGACTTTTAAATAACCGAACGGATGAAGCATGCTGCGTGTGTAATACGTCGGAAGGAAGGGCCGAGGAAGAGTATCTGGGGCTTGAAAAAGCTAATAACTATTTGTGTATCGCTGATAGATGCGAGACATGCCAAGCAGCCAGAGTCACTGCAAAGGAAGGGGAGCAGTCATTGTTCTTTATACTGAGCCAAACGCAATGGTATTTGGACACGCTTCCTACGTTCATGAGCTCGAACTATTTCCCAGTTTGTGGAGCAGATCCTTTGCAACAGCCTGCAGTATAAAAACAAAACAAAACATCTAAACTAAGTCCCAGCAGCTCCGGACCGTGCCTGAATATAGTCTTGTTTAAAGGGCTGGACATCCTGCGAGCCTAGAGGTGACCAGTTTGTGGGTTTAACCGGGTCACTGCTGAAATACTTCTTGCACGTGCCCATACAACACCCCAAATTTTCCTTTACTGCGTGTTTTTTCTGCTTCATCTTCTCCTGGAGATGTGCGAAATACAGCAAATAGCTTGCCACTCAAGTCCAAACGGGATTGCGGGCTAGGGAAGGAAGTGCGCGTCCTGTATTCAGTTAATTTTCTACTCTGCAGAAACATCGTTTGGTTTTTTTTTCAGTCAAGGAGAAGGAAAAAAAAAAAAAAAAAGAGACATTTGGCAGCTTCCTACAGTCAGGAAGGGAGAATGGTTATAGCAAATGCTTAATTGCCACTAGCTACTACTTTTAATTTTATTGCCATCTGGTATTTGTGAAATTGCTTGTGAGTTCTGCAGGATGACTCACCGCGTGCAGCGCACAGCTTAAAGGAAAACCCTTCGTAGGCTCGGACGCCTTTCAGAGCCACTTAAGGTAAGTGGCGAGGACCGAAAGAGCGTAGTGGAGCTGCGAAAAGCCATCAGGGAGGTTGTTTTGTTTGGGAGAACCTCCCCATTAAAGCAAAAGATGAATCCGCAGAGAAGCCGGGACGTGGATCTGAGCACCTCTGACGTTAAGGGGTGTCGAAATCCAGTCGCAGATCGCAAGCAGCTCTGCTCAGACACAGCCAGGATTTGCTTCCTGAAGGCTCAGGCGCACTCCGTTCAGAAGTTTTCATAAAAATAGGAATAAATACTGGCGCAGGCCGGGAAATTTTGTTGTAGGTTGCCAGCAAGAGTCTCGCTCGTTCATTTTATTTGCATATCAGTAGCTGGAATTTGTGCAAACTCTCTGTAATCCTCAGCTTCTCGGAGGGGTATTCATCTGCCCCGTTTAGAGCGCTAAGATGAGAACACCGGGGAAAGAAAGAGGAGCATGTCAATAAAAATGTCATCAAGCCAACCAAGATGAAACCGCCCATTTCGTTTCTAGATTTGAAAACGGTGCCGTCTTGCATCAATATGGCAAGAAGTCAAGTTTCTCTCATCTCGAAGCTATAACAATTTAACAAGTTAGCCGCCGTCGTCAGCGCAAGTTTGAGCCATAAACTGACGGGACTCCTTCGTGTCCGGGATGCGAGGCAAAGCCTGTGTTTTGTAATACCTGACAAAAAAAACCCCCAAACCTATTATTTTCACAACATTAAAGACAACTACCTTCCGCATGTAATTGTTGCCTTGCACTCTGAAGGCAGCACTTGCGAGCCAGGGAACGAACTCACTAGTAATTGAGTGTAAATAGGCAGCGATGGAGCGAAGAGAGCATAAATTAAGGATGAATCAGATTCCTAAAGTCTATTATAATAAATTAAAGGTGCTAAGAACATCCAGAGTGAATATTTTAAGGTGCCACTTCACTAAAGTCCTGTATCAAATTTAAAGAATATGGAGGTAAATACAGAAAGCCACCTGAAAGACAAATTATTCAGACTTTACCGGGGAAGAATAGGAGGGACAGAGAAGTTTTCGGCAGCTTGGCTGAAGTCTTTGGAACGATCAAGAGTAAAAAGCCCCACGATTTAACCACCAGACCATTCCCTTTTACTGGAAATACAGTTTTTAGACACCGTGTCAGCGCTCTTACTAGCGGTCGTTGTTAATGGTGGCAAGATCAGACAAGGAACATCAATTTCTATTTATCAGCGTGAGCTGGGCTGGGCTACCGGCACCTGAGTCTCAGCACTTACCTGTCTCCTAACAGAGCCAGAGAAGAAACTCAAAATTAAACTAAGCCAGACAGAAAAGAAGCGTACTTGTCTACTCTTTTGCTAAATATCAGCAATCTCTTTGTAGCCTATAGATTATAATTCCTGTACGATATGAGAACAGAGCCTTTGCGGGTTCAATAGGCCCTGAATGCCGGACTCCAAAGAAAACATTCATAATTTCTGTACGCACAGACAATGCCCGAACCTTTCCCTTCCCGACAAGTTCCCCAAACCAGGCACGTGGAGCTGCTCTACACAACCAAACTCCAGAACCCCGCTTTGTTTCACAACATCTCACGGGGCAGTAAACCAAAAGCCGGAGGAACTGGAACATCAATTTCTATTTATCAGCGTGAGCTGGGCTGGGCTACCGGCACCTGAGTCTCAGCACTTACCTGTCTCCTAACAGAGCCAGAGAAGAAACTCAAGCAAAATTAAACTAAGCCAGAAAAGAAGCGTACTTGTCTACTCTTTTGCTAAATATCAGCAATCTCTTTGTAGCCTATAGATTATAATTCCTGTACGATATGAGAACAGAGCCTTTGCGGGTTCAATAGGCCCTGAATGCCGGACTCCAAAGAAAACATTCATAATTTCTGTACGCACAGACAATGCCCGAACCTTTCCCTTCCCGACAAGTTCCCCAAACCAGGCACGTGGAGCTGCTCTACACAACCAAACTCCAGAACCCCGCTTTGTTTCACAACATCTCACGGGGCAGTAAACCAAAAGCCGGAGGAACTACACCAAACGCTACTAAATCAAATGCGTTTTGCTCCCCAGGATGGGGTTGGCCAAAGCATCAGGTTTAACGGGGAAAAAAACCCAGCGACCTGAACGCCTGAGGATGAGAGATGCCTCCGAGGCTCTCCCAGAGGCAACGACGAGAAACCCCTCGGCTCGGCTCATCGGAACGATGTTAAACTGGACGTCGACGGATCGCGTTCGCCTGCTCTGAGAAAGAGTTTCTTCAAGAGAGTAGTGGGAAGTGCTGGGAGGGAATATCATTTGCCTGAAAGACCTGAAGGAATCCAGTCACGAGAAGGAGTTTGGTCAGAGGAACGGACTGGGGTTGTCGTT